ATATATATATATATATATATATATATATACGTAGATTTTAAAAGGAAATATGCGCCAATACAATTAAGGTATGGAAAAGCACTATTAATTTATGAGATCTTTGCTTGCCTTTTTTTCTTTCAAAAATATTCATTTGATGATTCGGGTTCACAGTAGAAGAAAGTAAACTAGAGTGTAAAGATATTTGTACTGATGAGAGGTTACTAACATGAGACTAATATATTATAACAAAACATGTATGCCTTTATCAAAAGAAGTGCAAGTGCTTGTTCGCAGTAAAAGAAACTTAAGTTTGAAAAACCGCATCATATATTGTTCGGACTCGCGATGGTTTTGGAACGGTTCAGAAGTTTTCTTTCGCACTACCTCAAACTTTTTGCCTTCTATTTTCGTAGAAGGTGAGTGGCTGTTCAAACACGTGATTATAGTCTTAGTGATTTGTTTCAGATCTCGGCACTTTCGTAAAAATGATTAATTCAATCATTCAATCTTTATCGATCTATTTGTGTGTTAAGATTAATTTTATGCATAAAGTATCTAATGCGTGGTAAAATTGGGTGTTATACCTACGAAAGTGGTTCCCAAACTTTTTTCACTGCCGACACCTTAACCCACTTACCTTGATTTTCGCGACACTCCTGCTGCCACATGTAATATATATATTTGTAGTTTTTTGTTCTTAATTATTCTTCATTCGGAGAAACTCGCGACACCCCAGGCAACTTCACGCGACACACAGTTTGGAAAACATTGAGTTACGTATTATTTGTCATGAAAACCAGAATAAAATGGCACTTGAATTGAAAATATTACTTTACTACTCAAGAAAACCCCTTTAAAAATATTTTCGTGGACTTGTGGTTAGTTTTCATGGTTCGCGCTACCTTGTCATGAAAACACATTCCATAATGAATGCGCGCTATAAGAGTAGCACTCAAATGTTCAAATCGCATCATCAGATCGGACTAGAGTAGCCCAGTAGTAGTGTTTTGGATGTTGCTGACTGTGAGGATGCTGCTGCTACTTGACACAAATATTTGGATTATTTGGTGAGCTGGGCGGATAAATGGCAGATAGCTTTTAGGTGTAATAGGTAATGCATGTGGGATACCATAATTTGAACTATGAGTGTAATTTTGATGGGAATAACTTAACAGTGTTATGAAAGAAAATGATCTTGGTGTTCTAGTTGACCAGTCTCCCATTTAAACAATCTGTTCTTGCTAAAGGAAGGTCAAGTAGGATTTTAAGCTGTAATTCCAGAAATATTTAATTCAATTCTAAAGAAGTTATAACGCCATTGTATAGGTCATTGGTTAAGCCACATTTGGAGCATCATGTTCAGTCTTGGGCTCCTTACTATAGAAATGTTTGGGATTTGTTTTGAATTTTGCGCCAAGTTACTCGAGGGCTATCTTCGGTAGTCGTCTTTAATTTGGCAGTGATAGACTAAAGGTAAGGCAGATAGTCAACACCATCCACCGCCAACTCTTGGGCTACTCTTTTACCAGCGAACAGTGGGATTGACCGTCACATTATAACGTCCTCACGGCTGAAAGGGCAAGCATGTTTCGTGACGGGGATTTGAACCAGCGACCCACAGATTGCGAGTTCAGCGTTTCAACTACCAGTAAGATAAGGTTCAGAGGAAGGCTTCTTGGATGTTACCTAGTATGGAAAGGTTATCATACAAAAATAGGTTAAGGCCTCTGAGATTGTTTTCTATTGAAAAACGAAGAGTTAGAGGAGATCTGATTGAGGTGTTTAAGATTTCCAAGGGAATTGATAGTGTTCATGCATCATCTTTTTCGTACTTAATGGTGAGAAAGGTTAGACTAAGGGACACAAGTACAAATTTTGGAAGGGTAGGAGTCATCTTCAGCTGAGGCAGCTTTATTTTTTTGGCTGGCCTTCGGAATGGGTTTTCTTCAGATGTGATACATGCAGTTAATTTAAGGGAAGGCTTGATAAACATTTGAATAATAAGGGCTAGCATTGAATATTTTATTTCTATTTTAAAATTTAGTACAGCGTATCGGACGGTCTAGACGAACTGACACTTGTGATTCTAAAATGTTGTGTTATTATTAATTATCTCTGTTGTCCTTAGATTATATATATTCCCCTTGTGTAGTTTTGCGTAAAATTCTGAAATAAACAGACAAGTCAAAATCAATCAAGAAAACAACTAACTTTGGCACTAAACTGTTTAGTCCTTTAACGTTCTTACATGCATATTTTGTATAGTACATTGTAGTTAAAAGGCCATGTTACACTCTTTAAAAAAAGATATTCAACAGTGGACCGAAATTTTTCAAGAACGCATCCCCCAAAATACATCTAAGGATTGTGTTGCTTAACGTCATTTCAGACGCACGTCTCACTTTCAAGGAACGCAGCACTATGTATAACGGGGACCCCTATATTACATAATCCAACTATGTCATCCAATTTCTCATGGAAATGGTCTCTAAATAGAGTGTTTCTAGAGTATCACAATGAAGAAAACCAGTTTTCTGGAAACAGTGATCAGCCAGGAATAAAAAACTTAAACCTGTAGGCAAAGCATCATAATCATCAATTAATGTAATCGTTTTCAAAATATGGGAGCAATGAAATTACACATTCTAAACAGCCATTTATTTTACATATGTCTTTGAAAACAATATTTAAAGTTTACCACTAACATAGAATTTTTACTGTGAGTCCTGAGTTCGGTAGAACTGCTAGAAATGGGGGTAAGTGTAGCGATATTTAAAATGTTTAATTCTTTATACATTAACCTACCGGTCCTACCCCACCTGTTCTGTTCTCTCGTATGGCCTCAGCCGTGACGTTGCACGTCAGTGATTTGCATTTTGGACCAGCCCGCGAACCACTTGGAGGACCCTCGTGGACCACCAAAGGGATGCGGACCATACTTTGAGGGCCACTGACTTACAATATGATCTACAAAAAGATTACACATTTAATCATGAAAGAACTGAAATTACTTATTATTTCTCCCTTTAACCCTTCATCTCAAAGAAGTAAATGATGTATGTTACTATTAAGTACTGTGAGCGGACTATATTTTATGAAAAAAATGTATAGATCAGTTAGCAAAGCGTAAGAAAATAAGTTAATTTTAAGCCCATCATAGAGTATGTATGTTTTTAGAAGTTGTTTGCTAATGTTACTCCAAGGTCGAAGAGAATTTTGGTTTGAAACACACCTTATGTATAACTTAAACATAGAGGCTAAAGTAATATAAAGTTAGCTTCATGAAGAACGAGTGAAACACACCTTATGTATAACTTGAACATAGAGGCTAAAGTAATATAAAGTTAGCTTCATGAAGAACAAGTGAAACACACCTTATGTATAACTTGAACATAGAGGCTAAAGTAATATAAAGTTAGCTTCATGAAGAACGAGTGAAACACACCTTATGTATAACTTGAACATAGATGTTAAAGTAATATAAAATTAGCTTCATAAAGAACGAGTGAAACACACCTTATGTATAACTTGAACATAGATGTTAAAGTAATATAAAATTAGCTTCATAAAGAACGAGTGAAACACACCTTATGTATAACTTGAACATAGA